AGTTCATTGGCCAAAAAATACGAAATTTGAACCTCTAGAGAAAAATACGCATTTGGAGCTAAAAACAGTAAAAAACGTTCTTATAAGTGGTGAAGTCGCAACAGAGAATGTTATACTAAAAATTGTTGATAACATCTCCTCTTTTAATAAAATTTTACGCATCGTTTCTTACATATATAGACTAATAAAGCCTCTAAAAAAATACTAAAAGTATTGAAATAACTGCCGCTGAATACAACTGGTCATTTCTCAAAATTGTTGAGTCTGTTCAAAGAGTTTAATTCAGTGATGTCATTGCAAAATTACAAAATGACGAATTTCCGCCAGATACTATCCAAAAACTCAGTCCATTTATTCAGCCACATCAGGAAGAAAATCGTAGTTTATCACTGCTGAGAGTTGGAGGCCGCTTAAGAAACTCAGAATTTCCTGAAGATATTAAGTTTCCGCTATTGTTGTTAAAGTCTTCAAATTTCGTTTATAAATATGTTGAATACTTACATTGGTCGAATTGCCACGCGGGCCCAAAAGTACTAGTCGGATTAATGCGCCAGAAAATCTGGGTCATAAATGCTAGAGAATTAGCGCGAAAAGTAGTACACAACTGCATACTTTGTTTCAGATACAAGCCCTAATTAATGAACCAAATAATGGGTGATTTACCGCCAGACAGGTTGCGATCGGTTCGACCATTTCTTATTTGTGGAGTTGATTTCTTTGGTCCAGTTTATACAACACATAAAATAAGAGGCCGACCTCCTTATAAAAGCTACATTGCCATGTTCGTGTGCTTTAATTCTAAAGCTGTACACATAGAATCTGTGTCTGATTTATCCACTAAAGCATTTTTATCTGTCCTTAAAAGGTTCGTCGGTCGTCGGGGAGTTCCAGTGAGGATATATTGCGACAACGCCACCAACTTCGTGGGCGCCAACGCGAAATTGAAAGAGCAGAAATAGAAAATGTTCGGGGAAGGCAATCGCAAGGAAGTCACAGCGTTCGCAGCAGAGCGAGGAGCCGAATTCGTTTTTATACCCCCGCGCGCACCTCATTTTGGCTTACTGTGGGAGGCAGCCGTCAAGAGCGCCAAACACCTAATGCTTCGCACAATAGCCGACACCGCCCTAACGTTCGAGGAGCTCTCCACCGTACTCGTCGGCGTGGAGGCAATTTTGAACTCTCGTCCAATCGCGGGATCAGACGATCCCAACGACGGCGAGGCCATAACGCCCGCACATTTATTAATAGGCGATTCCCTAATGGCCGTCCCCGAGCCAACAACTGGACATATTTAGATCGCTGGCAGCGAGTATCATACCTGAAGGGATGATTCTGGTCAGAATTCCAACGGGATTACATCCTCGCTCTTCAGACCAGAACGCGATGGGCCAAGCCGCAACCCAACATCGAAATCGGCAACCTGGTCATAATACACGAAGAGAATTTGCCTCCCCAAAAGTGGCTCACTGGTCGAGTATAGATATAAAAACTGGCGCCGACGGTAAGGTGCGAGTCGCGGACAT